AAAAGCTTGGGCAAAAACCCTCACAAGGATTTTTGTCCCGACATCCTTCCCCGCCCCCATTAAGCGACGTCTCCGTCGCTTACCATATGACAATACAAGGGGAAGTTTTTATAAGACCTCACCAAATATATTACATAACCAAAATACCTATGGAATTAATCCAGATTTTACATACTTATACGTGATGAACGCCGTTCCCGTCGTTCATTTTTCTTTCCTTGCCTAATCTTCTGGATACCCTTATCATGAAATACTTTGTGCAGACTTCATTACCGTCAACGAGAAGGGCTTACTTTTAAGCCTTTAATAATTCTTTCGAACCTTCCTTCGAAAGCACTTTCATTCAGTCACGAGTTGGAATGGGGTCAGAAGTAACCTCTGACAGGCCTTTCCCCGGAATCTGGAATCCACCGTCGGCGTTACCCAGCCTGAGGAGTTACAAGAACCTTTTAGAAGAATGATCCCAACATCATCCCACTGGCGGCCACTCATCTTTCCTTTTGTCCCTCATAGATGGGTCAGGTTTATCCCCCTGATGAGACTCTCTTCAGGCTATAACCCCCTGTCTAGGTCTTGTCAAGCTTAACCCCCTGCGGGTCTTTCGTCATACAGCACATACTGCCAGGAATTTAACCTGAGTCTCTCACGTTCATGGGGGTGCATTCCTAACATCTCAGCATGTCTCTCGCTGCCAGGAGTTTTAACCCGGGCTCCCCACTAAACACAAGGGTGCTCACACTGTACTACAACATGTGTCGGCACCATCCCAGAGAGAAATCACCCTTTTCAAAAGTCCTTGTCCAGTCCGGCTAATTCCCACTCCAACTTAATTGTCATGCATGATTTGTCTCTTACATGCCTTGTAAATGCGTCGAGGAGTGGTGTAATCCTCAAGGGATAACATCTCGACGTCAAGCCCTGCTTTAGACTCGAGCCTCACCACTTTCCCTTTGATTCCAGTGTCATACATCTGTTAGTACCCTACCTGCAAGGTTGAACTACCCCTCCCTTATGACCCAAGCTGACCAGACCCGGCCATAAAGTCGAGGCGACCCCATTCACCACAAAAGAAAAGGTGACCTGTCTTTCCCTCATGGCGAACGTTAATCGCCACCCTCATAAGCAAGGTTCCAACAAACATATTACCACCTTCCTCCTTTTCGATGATAGTGTAGCCACCTTCCTCGAAAGGAAAGATGACAGCATCCCACTATGGACCAGGAACAAAGTTCCGGCGCAGGCCTCACTACTGTCTACTGGGCTCACAACATTAGGATTCCTCTTTGCATGACAATTAGAACACAACCAAATCATAAGTCATGATAGGTAATCGAGCCACATGTCTAACGCTAACGCGCAGGCATATGATTCGAGTACATGTCCTTTCCCCAGACTTGTACTTATCAAATCTTTCATTCACAACAAAATACACAGAGTTTCATAAGAATTTCAGGTCCTACAATTCTTTATGTATGTGATGAATACTTTAATAACACAAGCATCCATCGACTATTTCATAATACTCTTCTTGCAATGGACCTCCCATCATGATAAGAATCTCACAAAGTCCTTTGGTATCACTCTTCTATTTTACAACCAGTCCAATACCTCTTATGCATAGAGACAATTGTGAGAAAAATATCATAATCATCTTACAACCGTCTGTGACAGTAAAGAACGGATCCATTATTACAAAACAACAGGAATCACAATCCCATTGATAACCTTTCAACTTCAATACTTTTATTAATACTTTACAACTTTCTTGGTTAGCCTAAGACAAAAGTCAGAATCAACTRAACCACAATAYAAAAGCAAGAAGAGTTACCAAAATTGATGTCACCAATTAGCTCCTCCACCCCCCTTTTCTAAAAAGTATTCACTAAACTCTCGGAATGAACTTCYGTAGATGTGCACCTGATACCCAATTTCTACTTCGGGATCCATCCAACTCCTCTATTTCATATGCCCCATGTTYTGTTTTCCTAGTGATCYGATATGGTCCTAGCCACMGACTGTCTAGTTTTCTGGACCACTGYYTCTCTAGCGACATATCATACAACAAGACGATGTCTYCCWCTTCCAACRGCTCTTTTCGTACGCGTGGCCTCTTATCCCATCTTTCCTTGTCAGCCTGCCTGCTTTCAGAAGTAGAGACARCCGSATCCTCAATCCGTTCTTCAGTCGCCATGATYTGTCTTGCCCYCMATTCCAATAACTYTTCCRTCRAARGTTTSGTTTMCACGTCCTGTTTCTGCCAAGTGGTCAGGAAACTCTCAATTGGGAAAGTCGCATGCCGTCCAAACCATAATGTGACGRGAGCATACCCGGTTGTTCKYTTGATGGTWACATTYTCAACAAAAAAGRCTGCCCTCAKATAAATTGGTCATCTTGATGGTTCCCCCTTGCACCATTTAGCCAACAAGTTAGACAAGGTGGCATGTCCTCRTTCCAMGGGTGCATTGGYCTGGGGATGCGYTCTCGTCGTATAACTGAAACTCACCCCAAGTCTCTTTAAAARCGTTTGCACCTCCTTTGCTCGAAACTCGCCTYCTCGATCCRTAACAATCTCTTGAACAAATRGATAACGGAGGTAATATTCCTCAATGCACTCTGCCAAGACTGATCCAGTACGTTCGCGAATGGCACGACCATCAACGAACCMAGTMAAATTGTCCCTARCATCGAAGATATACCTGTACSCATTTATCCCAGGTGCCATCAYCAAAAGATCCAAATGCACCACCGCACCCGGTTCTGYCACATAACGTGGATTTAGGGGCTCAAGGTAGCGGATATTAGACCTCTGTKGACAAGGGAAAYAAGATTTACAAAAGTCAATCACCATCTTGCTCATCTCTTCCCAGAAATAAAGACGTTGGATCTYGTTCAGGGTTACKCRCGCAGACCTGTGCCCRCCRTCTWCCCCATCATGCAAGGCAGCGATCACATTCAACTGTCGAGAGGTTYCGCATACTACCCTCTTTKGGACACCATCAGCAGCTTTCTTAAAGAGATGACCATCACGAACGACAAACCCTTTRCTCTTTTSYCGCACAACCGGATCAACCTCGTTTTCATCCAATTCCCYGTTCAACCACATGCTTATCTTCTTATACTCCCCTTCGTACTCCTTTTCCTTAAACACTTMTYTGACCTCACTKCCTCCTTCCTCTGCATTCATTAACCTCAGGCGATCCTCRTGGACCAACAAGTTCATGATATATGACATCCTTCCAACGGTCTGGAAAGCGTCATCAGCCTGYGTATGGCCCTGTTCAATCGTTAGCGGATCAAGCATAAGGTCGATGTCATCGGTYAAAGYCAGCCTCATCATTTCCTCTGCRRTCTGCTCGCCCYATGGGTCCTCCTCAATGAAAGGTTCTTCCATCAYGAGTTYTGRACGTACCTCGTGAAAGGCARGAGCATTCCATATCGATTTCCCATGACRAGTGGCCGCATCTGTCAGGTAGGTAAGATAGTTAATACTCAATCGCGACTCCTCTTCTTTCAAMAAGRCATCGACMRGAACTGATCCTTCCRCCTGATMTGTCTCTGGGTCKCRTTCAACCCGACTCAGCCCATCAGCAYGATTCTGACTTCCCGAAATCCGCTCAATTTCGAAGTSAAACATCCAAATATAAGTCAACCATCGTGCAATGGTGGGATCAGCAGGTGAATAATTCCTTAAGGATTGAGCCAAAGCAGTTGGATYTACCCRCAGGATKAAGCGTCTCCCAAACACATAATTCYGAAAGATGCGGAAGCAGTGAAGCACGRCCAAAGTTTCCTTTTTGAACTGGGAATAGTTCCWCTCAGCAACATTCAKAGTCCTACTCTCAAATMTGAGAGRTYTTTCCTGCCCCTCAGCATCCTTCTGAATTAAGACYCCTCMTAGGGTTGTAGGCCCCGCATCAGTCTCAATAACAAAARGACKYTTTTCATCATCGTCGAAGAAAGGAACTYCAAGGATCAATCCGCCCTCACGAAACTCAGCCTTTATATCCTCCACGRCCTCTTGTTGCTTCGGACCCCATTCCCACTTCTGGCCTTTGCGCACGAGYTTTCGCAASTGCTCCACTCTGGCGGCAAACCTGCRGAYKAAGATGCGYYWAAATCYACAGGTTCCAAGGAAACTTCGCACATCCRTGATTGACTTGAAAGRGGTCGGCCATTCCAAGATTTTATTAGTCTTCTTCGCATCCGGCCGKCGACCTTTCTCATCGCAAAGRAATCYYAAGATCACTGCTTTCTTCATACAATGCYKAGACTTAATCCCACTAGCTGTGAGATTAAATTCCTTCARCCYCTTAAGGATTTTCACCACATCATTGATGTGCTCCCAGACAAAAYGGCGAACGCCCGGCAACACTTCCGCCAGGTCTTTCGTTYGGGGCCCTRGAATAGCCAAGTCGTCAATATACGGCGAAGTTATGTCAGGAYAATAAGGCTACATRACCCTCGTCATATATCTCTGAAYAATGGCAACGRCATTCGTCCACCCCTGCSGCGCCACACACATATGGATCAACCCGSGAGGAGTGTGCATTGCCATCTTGRRYYGATCCGCAGTGTAAGTGGGAMATTGATCATACCCGGAATATAAATCGATCAGGGTGATGATAGACCTCCCTGCACAAGACTCCGGCAGTAGGTCTGCATGTGGGAGCCCACCTGCATCTCGCACTGTCACCGAATTCAACTTTTGAAGGTCCTGAATCCATCGCAGAGTACCATTCGGTTTGATGAAACAGAACTATGGAGATGCATACAGCCCGTAAGAATAATCTGCAACCTTTGTTCGGATCTTTCCATCGAGATACGCGACCACCTTACNTTTGATGAAACAGAACTATGGAGATGCATACAGCCCGTAAGAATAATCTGCAACCTTTGTTCGGATCTTTCCATCGAGATACGCGACCACCTTACCGTGATCCTCCGGATTCGGATAACGCGACCCTCTTACATTCCATGGCTCGTGTGGTACAGTATGAACTCTGATCATCGGGATTTTATCGACATCCATCCTTCCCCGCTCATCATCATCGAACGCCTAGGAGAGATTTTCCTCCTTCAATATATAGATGATATACCCTTTTTCCTGCTCAGTGAGGAGGTTCTCATCCCTAATGATCATACTTTCCACTCTTTCTTTGGTTAACCGACATGGACCATTTTCACCTCTCTCTTTCATCTTTCTGATCCACTCGCGCTCCTCACGATAATAGACTTCCTCCTCTTGAGTGATCAGAACAGGTACCGGCTTCGCGTTCACGCCTACTTTCTTATACTTACGTTTGGCGCCGGTGTCAAGCCTGCGCCCTCTGAAAAAGGACCCTGTCGAGTGGAGGGCAATTTCTGATCTTCTCCCTTATTCCCCTCTAACGGGGAGTAAACAAGGCGCATAGTTCTTGCGCTTCCGGTGTCCGTGATGATCTCCGTCAATGCCTGCACCACATTTGGATCAATCGCCGCATGTGTTGACACAAAATCGATTACCTGCCCAATATCAGGCAGGGTCAGCGAGAACTCACGAGCATTAGGCTCCTCCCCTAACGATTCCTTCTCCCGTCTCAACTTTTCTAATTCTGGGAAGCTATAGGATTCCGGGTTCAGCCGGTTTCGCGAGCAATAGGGTCCAGTGTTCGCACACTTGACCACTTCGTAATAACCGCAGACAGGATCACAAAGGATTACAAACATGGTTCCATCATGCTTGTTAATGATGATGCTTTTTGACCGACATAGGAACGCCCTTCCCAGAAGCACCTCGTGTTCCACTCTAGGTAACACGTAGAAATAAGAGCAGACTTTGACCTTTCCGACCGTGACGAGAACGCCACAGGCTTTTCCGCAAAATAAGGTCGATCCGCTAACCCCCACCAAAAACCCATAGTCATCTCGGTTGATTTTCAACCCAGCTTTGATGGCATGGCGCTCACGAATGATGTTCATCTCGGCTCCATCATCCACAAGTGCCGAACACTCCTGTTGTCCAATCTGGACGTTAATATGGTCGGTCGACACACTTCGCCAATCCATCTTTGTCCCAGGCGGGGACCAGTTAGCCTCCAGCGGAATCACTTCGCCGAGCTTAACAATCATGACTCTCTTGCGAGTCATCCGCTGTTTAAACTCTTCTCGAATCTTCAGCGATAACGCCAAAATTTCCTTCAGCGTGACCAAGTCGCACTGACTTTCTAGAATCTTATCGACAAGCCGCTCGATATCGACCCCCTGCTCCACGGGGATCGAGTAAATGTTCTTCTTCTTTCGTGGTTCCTCCTCGCCTGCTTCGGTCTTCCGTTTCTCTGGCCCCCTTTCCAGCACACGACGACGAGCCCGTTCTTCCTCTTCGGCCCGCAACTTCTCATCCTCGTTATCCTCATCGTTCTCACTAACGGGGATGGACTCTTCTTCCACTGCCTTTTCAGACTCTCTTTCCCTCTGAAGCTGCTCGTTTCGTCGTCGCATCCGAGTCTGAACGGCTACAGTCGGAGCACTCCTCTTTAGCACAGGCCTGGGTCGCATCTTGCTTACCATTAGCTTGGTTTGCGATGCTTCTCTCGGAGCAGACGTCCCAGCTTGGCCAGACGCATCTTCCCTTTTATCACCCCATTCGCCGAAGAGAAAGACATTTGGCAATCCAGGCCTGACTTCCTCCATGCCTACGCAAAGTCGGATGATAGAGTCCCGGCATTGGGCAAGCCGCCTCGTGATGTTTTGCGCTCGTTCCACCACTTGTTCCCTAAGCCCTCCTGGTTCCGGCGACGAGTCGTCAATATATAGCGACGCCATGGCCTCCTCGACCCCGGCCAGCCGCGCTTCTTCGGGAGAAGCAATCCAGAACGTCACCGGCAGCGGACGACCCATTCGGCGAAACGCCTCCTTCCTCATACCCCCTTCAATGTTGGGGTAGATCAGGTTCCCTTCGTAATCGAAGACTTCACCTCGTATCGTGGGGAAGACAATTCCTTCCTTCTCATCTCTTGAAAGGAGTTGGCAAAACCGCATAATATGGCCCTTTTCTACGCAATAGTTACATGTGGCTTCCTGCTGCGACGCCCAACGGTTTCGCTGTCCGTTCCCATGGCCTCGACCGCGGCCTCTTCCAACCTGCGGCCGGAACTGCCCTTGACCCTGAGAATTTTGTCCTGACGAACCACCGCCAGCACCTCCATTCCCTCCTTGATTATTTTGTCCACCGTTCTTCCCCTGTTTATGGGAAGTCCCCTGTCCGCCTCGAATTTGATTCAGGACCTTCCTCTCTGCTTTGTCAACTTGCAAGGCGGCTCCTTTTCTTCCTCGCTCTCACTGTCACTTTTTTCTTTCGCCCGCTCTTTCCCCTTCCTCTTACTATTTTTCTCTTTGGCAAACATGACTTGGAACTTCAGCCTTTCCTCCTTCATGCCCTCCATCATCTCTCTCATGCAGGTCAAAGTTTTGTAAATCTCACCGTCCTTCACCGCTCCCAGCTTGACCTTTTCTCATTCCTCCTTTTGTTGCCTGAACAACCGATAGAGGATATCGTCGAACTTCCCCACCAGCGCATTTTGCCGGACCTCAGTCCAGTCATACCTCCCTTGCATCCCTTCAACCAATTTCGATTGTTCGACGTCGTTGAAGTTGTCAAGGAAGATGAGGCACCGATCTTTATCGGATAGGTCCGGAATTAGGCGAGCCACACGCTCAAATTCTGATAAAAAGTGTTTGGTAGTACCAAACTTTTTACGATCCACCGCCCTCAAATCCTGCAGGTCGAGCAACCGGTCGCTGAGCTGGTACTTCTCCAACAACCGCGTCTTAAAATCTAACCAATCATAGAGATTCGCACCAGCTCATCGATGTTGTCTCGGTACCCCACCTTACAGTATCTTTTAACCATGCGAAGCATCTTCTCATCTGTCCATTCGTTGCTATATCCCAATTGCTCGAACTTGTCAGTCCAAGAAAAGGCATGATTCCTGTCGAACAACGGAACATGAATCTTAGGGTAGGGCTCTCGCTGCGACTGCCGAATGACCCGTGCCAGTTCTTGAATGTCATTCCTCCCATCGTCGTCATTGTCGCGACCTCCTGCGGCAGCGGCCATCAAGGGACCAAAACATAAACCCAAGAAATCAGTCTAGGAGTTTGGTAGCATCTATTAAGGTTCCTTCCTTACACTTATACAGGTTCAGAGATTACTAACCTTTCGTCTTAGACAACCATTACGACATGATCTTTTACTTGCTCCATTCCCGAGTGTCGTTCCACCAGAAACAACGGTAGTTTGTCATTATCCCTGGCAACGGCGCCACCTGTCGAGCGCATCGGCCCCCGCGCGAGCGAGGGCCCTCCCGGCCGCGTCACGCAGGAGAAACTTAGGCTTTCAACTTTTTAGAGACAACTCGGGGACAACACGGTAACCCACGTCGACCCTTCGCCGCTCCGGCCGAGTGAGTCAGCTGTACATCCCGCGGTCCTCACGACAGGACAGGTTCTCGCGGGGCACAACTTACCTTCCCTAAGGGGTTGTCACCACCCTTAGGGGCGTATCCCTACCGAGCTACCGACCCACATGCGAAAGTTTTTATAATGCACTTGCAGAGGTAGGCCGACCGAGGGCGTTTGCTCGTTTGCTGTCGCATAGGTACGCATGGTTAAACGCCAAAGTGGACCCGAACGTCGCCCGTCCCTGGGGCGCTGATCTCCCACGAATCGGACCGACGTCAGTCGACTAGGACGTGATATTCCAAGCGTGAGATATCTTGATCGATCCTTAGTCCCTTCTTTTGAAGACAATTAAAAGTAACAAAATACTTGTGCTGACATAAGCTGAATTATTTTATGAAATTGATACACTCATACATATCACTCGTCTGGGCTGTCACAATTTTTTCAATTTGATGAGGTGCATTGCCAAGTTCTTTCATTCCACCCCATATCGATTGCTAGACAAGGACGCAGACAACTTCCACTACTCGATTAAAGGTAGGGTGTCATCGCACCAGTGATGACTATGCTCCCACTCTAACTTTGGTGTGAATGTCATTTGGAAGTAGTCCGGCTACCATTATACGAATCAGTACTCAACTTGAATGGCCGACCGTTGAATGCCTCATTAAGGTCAAGGATTCATTTTCAAATTTTGTTGGTCGCTTTGCCCTTCTAAGCAATGATTATTTTTTCTGTCTTACGAATGATGAAATATCAGTCTGCGATATCAAGATATTCAAGGCATTGCTTTAGTTACATTTTTTCCGTCCACTAGTCTGATCGACCCAGGCTTGCACTTCTTATGGCGCACCCTATCCGCGAAGGTAGTGCATAGTCGCACTCCGTCCATGGCTAGTGATCGCACGAACTGCGTTTCTTATAGCGCCAGCTTCTCACTCACTTGTGGCTCCTAAGACGGTCACTAGAAGGGT